TGAGGTTAGGAGCAGAGTTTTAGGTAAACGTGATCACCCACTGGATCAAGTGGTCGACCATCATAGAGTGCGTTGGTTGGGGCATGTGTTACGCATGTTACCAATTGGGTTGCCACGGAGCGCGATATTTGCCGAGGCAAGTAGTGGATGAAATAAAGTCAAGTGTGGTCAAGCTAAGACTTGGCATCAGGGTATGAAAACCCTAACCAGGATACTGGGTCATATAGGTAGCGTTAGACCCTCTGGCTGGGGCTCTCGGGATGATCGTAACCGATGGTTTGAGACACTGAGTGATATGGCTGAGTGTTGCAAACAGTGGCGTTCGTGCATCTTCTCAATTTATCTGTATCATTAGTCCACTGAAATTCCCCACTTTCTCTTGGACTCTATTTTCAACTTTCCTGTATTTTTCTTACTATTTCATTCAATTGGGCAGCCAAAGGGCTGTAACCAAAACTGATGTGCGAAAGTGCATGTTTGCGTGGTTGCACAAACTGAAAAAAATTCAAACCGAATACTACCTAATTTGAAAATGTGATTTTGTGACCCCTTGTGAAACTGAACTGCGAATCGCTGGTCAAATAATGACTCCACAAATGTTTCTGTCAAGGATATAAATGGTCAATAGGTGAACAGACAATGTGATTGACCTTGGCTTTTTATGATGATATTATTCTCTCTCTCTTGTGGTCACGTGAGGCCTGACGCATGAATACTTTGTATCCAGTTCACAACCTATGCGAACCTAGTTTATACGATTTTACATAGATCAAGGACTGTTTGGAGCTGGTTTGCAGGCCGAACATACAAAATATCGCTACATTTCCCACAGGTTGTTTGTGAGAAACTTTTGTAGTTGGTGAGAAATGTCTATCGACAGGTGTTTGATCTTTAGGCTTCCTAAAATATATTCACTCGAACTGTGTGTGTGTAAATCCATAAATGTGAGCGATGACAATAAAAGCTTTTTGAAATATTGCCAAACATCGTTTGGACATTTTTTGATCCTATCAGGACTCCAACCGCGAACATTCGGATAGGGAACTTCAAACCCCTACGCATTGACGCTGACGAGTCCCAACACAGGACGAGATAGCTGCCCTGTGCTCTTTGTCGGGCATCACAAACATTTTCACCGTATTAAGACGTTCATTTACTCTATCCACGACACATTCCCCGTTTTGAATTTGAAGCAAATCTCCCATTACTCTCATGCAAATGAATAAAAGATTGAGGGCACACAAAATTGATGTCCAAGATCAATTGTGCACATCTTGTGTTACTAAACCTTTTCCCATGAAGCTGTAGTCAAAATCCGCAATCCTTTAGCCTCGACCCGTAAGCCTTTAGCCAAAAGCAGTAGTCCTGTAGCTTCGACGCACAAAATTTAACCACACCGCACTAGGTGAGCCAGATCAAAAAGTATCGGAATATTCTGAAGTCAACGAATGTTTGAAATAAATTATTTCCCATAAATATTGATGCTGCAAAGCTTGGTTAAGAAATAAGAATGTGTTGGGGGTTGCATGCTACAACAAATGTTGATGGAGAAGGTTTAACCGATGTGCCCGTATCGTTGACACATCTCGTACAGCCTAACTGTTTCTTATAACATACGATACTCCTAGGAGTAACGATCTGAAATGTAACTCAAACGGTACATGATTTTACATTTACAAATGTAAAAAACAGAATTCACTTTGATTGAATATATACGAAACGGTAAGCATATACCTCTTGATTTATTTCAGGGCATATGAATGCAAAACAATGTATCGTTTGAGTTACACTTGAAATTTTTACTGTTATAGAAAAACATGGAAGCTGTACGAGATGTGCCAAATGATTGGACTATACGAAGACATCGGTTAGACCTTGTCCAATCAGCATGTGTTGCAGCATGCAACCCCCAACATATTCTTATTTCTTAACCAAGCTTTGCAGCATCAATATTTATGGAAAACAAGTTTTCTCAACATTCGTTGACTTCAGAATATTCCGATACTTTTTGTTCTGGCTCGCCTACTGCGGCGTGGCTAAATTTTGTGCGTTGAGGCTACAGGTCTACGGTTTTTGGCTAAAGCATTGCTGGCTTTGGCGAAAGGATTGCGGGTTTTGGCCAAAGCTTGATGGAAAAAGATATGAGTTTGTTGAAATAGAACCTTCATCCGACAGTTTCCCGGATAGGAGGGGGGATACAAGACGTACTCGTAGATGAAAAACATCAACCGAGACAGAAGAGTTTACAACACTTCAAAAATCTTTATTGCTGAAATAGTCAAGCATATACATGGGTACGACTGACGGACCACTGGTTGTTTTGTCTCATGGGATATCACGTGACAAACGGCTGTAGTGCTGATCATGAAACAAATCAAGCGTGTATTCTTTTCAGCTTGATTTTGTTTGGTTATCTTCGATCATACGAGACATTGCAAATGAGTCATACAATCAGAACGAACTACAGATAGTATATTGCAATGACTATGGACAAATTTAAATTTAAATTGTTTAGATTGTTCTCACTTTGTAATCAAATTCATTTCTACTAAGCTTCAGCAAAAAACCGGCAATGATTTAGCCACAAACCGTAGTCCTTCAGCCCCACAGCACAAACTTTAATCATACCATTGTAGGCGAGTGAGATAAAAATGTATCGGAATATTCTGATGAGATCAATGAATGTTGAAATATTTTATTTTCCTCTAAATGTTAATGTTTCAAAGCTTTTCGAAAAAAATGAGAAGTGAATGCTTACTAGTCCGTTTTCGACAGGTGGACGCATTGGTAAACCGGTCGAGGATACTTAACACTGTTCACAAAAACACACATCGCAACATTTGACATGCTGACGACAGTCTAGGATCAAGAATTACTGGTTTTGTCTAATACTTGATGGGAAAAGTTATGATAAAGGAAGTTTTTTTTACCAACTGTGTTCATTATCCTCGAGCTGAACAACGGATCTCACTTTAAGTGCACATTCGGAACAGTAATCATTCACATTTTTGTACTATTACTTTTTGATTCATTTCAAGGCTTGTGAATTCAAAGCAATGTACCGTTTGTACTATATTTAAGGATCTCGCTCACACGAGTTTTGCATGTTATACGGAAACGCTGAAGCTTTACGAAATGTGCCATATGATTTTACGATACGATATGGAGACATAGTTTGAAGTTTCTCCAATCAACATGTGGTGCAATATGAGACCGCCACATGTTCTCATTACTTAATCATGATTTTCTTTCTGCCAAGGATTTAGCATTCGTTGACCTCAGAGAATATTCTCGAGACGTTTTGATCTGACTGGTCTACAGCGCTATGCTTAAAGTTCGTGCGTTGAGGCTAAAGGATATTGAGAGTTTGGGCTGAAGCTTGATGGGAAAGGTATAAGTTTCATTTTACACTAACTTAAAGCTCACCCGTGCGTTGATTCGTGACTGTACTCGGCAGTTTGCACATAAACCGAAGAAACGAGGAGCAAAATAAGAATTGACCGGGGCTGGGGGGGGGGGGTNCTCAAAAAGAAACTATAATTTTTGCGATGAGGTTCAGTTGATGGTATGGTGAGATTGGTTAGGACACATCGTGATGTCACGTGATGGTTTGACCGATCGCAGCGATTATAGTCAATAATTCCGATGCGAGATGTGACTACAGATGTAAACTAGCTTAGACCATCCCAGGAGGTAGCCGGCATAAACTAAGCAAGTAAGTAAGTAAACCACAGATGTAGTGAGTCAAACATGAAATTTAGTAATCTCTTCTATTCAATCAAATTCCCGGTTGAGATTACAATGGACAAAATCCGGTTGCAACATTTCACTTGTGCTACTGCCAGAATGTCGAGAATTGAACGTTAATTGCTTGTACAGAACATCACAAAGTGTGTCATTGTTCCCTTTAGACTCAAAACTTTCAGCTATTCCCTTGTTTTGTTCAATAGTCGTCCGAATCGTGTTATCATTGGTCAGACCACACTCAAAAACCCGGCTCTGTTTATTACCTTGGTATCATTCTGGCACATAATCCTGCTTAATTTTCTCATTTCTGCGAACGGCTGCACTAAATTCCGCAGCACATAGTTATGGGATTAGCAAAAGTAGCTGTTTCATAAAATTTTATCCGTAAATTTATAATAATAAGTGTATCCTTCACACAGCATTTATTCGACGTTTTTCCCCAGATCAAAACATGGTTTCAACTTGGTGTTCGGATAGCTGGAATCTTCCCCCAAACAATGGCAGTAGCAAATACGTTTTCGTGGATATTTTGTGATTCCTGCAACATTTAATTGATTGGATTGGACAATTAGGGTTTGAATCACGAAACCATGAAAGCCTTATAAAATCTTTGTGATTCAGTTGACATCCATGCATCGCTCATCTCAGCACGAGCCTCCGGGATTATGACTCGGTTGGAAACGTTCACAAACCGACTACTTGTGCAATTGAAAAATGATTCCCGCTAAAAGTACGCAAAGATGGATTGTGCTACATCGTATAAATGGCAAATGAAAAGCGGTCTGATCAGCTGGCCCGGGGTGGCCGAGTGGGTAGCATGCTTGCGTTTTGTGTGAGAGGTCCCCAGTTGGACGGATAGATACACGCACAGATGTTACGAAACTCAACCACGTCGAAACAGACGTCCAGCTGTGCTTCCTAGCTTTTCACTTCACGCTTTGTTTGCTCTACGCAAGACGAATTTCACCACAAAACAGGGTTCCCATCTGGGTGATAGAAAAAAGTTTCGAAAGGAGGGCTAAATTTAACCTACCTACCATCTGTGTGTTCTTCTGCCATTACAATGTCCACTACCTGGTAAGGATTTAACTAAGAGTGTTCTTCTTGCAAGCTGTGTTTAAGCCCCCTGGATTCTCTCATGATACTCTCCTATACGAATATTACACAGCAGTAAAATTGGAGTCTCTGGGGGGCCTCGTAGACCCCAGTCATCTTAAACTGGTTTATCGAAAAAGCAAAACAATGATGCTCACCTGAAAGAGAATTAACACAATCACGTTCAGGATGACTGTGCACAATAAGGCAACCAGATAGAACACATTAAAGTCGCGAACGTAGATGGTGATACGTAGATTGGCACAGATCACAATGACCAGATAGGAGGCGGCACCGATCATGTTGAAGTCGAACTCCTGCAAGTGTCGGTCCACTTGCTGGAAGTATTTGGCCGGTGCGTAGAACTCGCCACCGCTGAACACGTAGTAGGTGAGCGTGAAAATGACCGTACCTTGCCAGAACCCGTCCAACAGGTAGAGGACCACTTTTATCGGTCGAAGATTCCGATGTCCAGCAATCTGAGACGTTTGTATGTGAGAGTAATGAGGGATATGATTTGTTTATGTAATGAATTCATCGTGTAAATGAGGCGTGAGTCTAAAAGCTAGGAAACACAGCTGAACAACTGTTTCGACCTGGTTGGGTCTCATCAGCAGGGTAGGCATTCATCGATTCAATTGAGGATCGCGAACCCGGAACCTCACAGGTAGAACGCAAGCATACTACCTACAAGGTCACCGATGCGCAGCTGATCAGACTGATTCCCAGTGTGAATAAACACGAAATAGCAAAACTCAACTTTGCGAGCTTTCCGCGGACTCATCCCAACCCTAGTCACAGGGGTTATGACTCGGCTGGAAACATTCACAACCTGACTATGGGTTGTGCTATATAGAGCATATTCAAAATGAGAAACTCTGATCAGATTCCCGGTAGTCAACGGGGTAGTATGCCAGCATTCTACCTGTGAGGTCTCCGGTTCGCGATTTCCAATTGTGTCGATGGATGCGTGCATGACTGATGAGACCCAACCAAATCAAAAGAGGTGTCCAGAAGTGCTTCCCAGCTTTTCAGCTTAGGTCTGATTTACATAATCTGCTATTTTGTTTTGTCGTATAGTTGGAATGAAAAAAAATAATTAAACAGGCAGAGAATGAGTAAATTGAATAGGATAACATGGTTGCAACGTGATGCCCATCAGACCATTTCAAGAGATGCGGTTTGACTGTTCATCAATGACGTTTCTCATATCACCAGCAGATAAACACTTCAGTGAATTACGAAACAAAAAACAAATATCCGTTATGTGACATCGACATGAGTTATGTTATGTTATGTTAATTTCATCTTAACAACTTTTCAGAAAGCAAAATTTCACTGATTTCCTTCATTCAAATCAAACACCAAGGCAACCAATTGATGTCACAGAGGAAGGGAAGAAGTTATTAATCTCTATGGTCATGGGATTGAAATCAACCGCGTCGTACGCTATAGTTTCACAGTTTCTCTATCCCCGCCTTTTTTATATGGTGTGTTCATGCGATATTCTGAACTGTGGAATGTCCATGGTGAACAGAATTCAGTCGGGCTACGGGTTACCGTACACATTTGAATATGCTACACACAATTTGGTGCAAAAGGGTAACAAAAGGAAAAACTGACAATGGTCACTTGTTATCAGTCATTCAGAAGTCACGTGGTTGGACCAAATTGCTACTCCATACATTCCTCACATCACTTTGCTCATGGACCATATTTTTTTATCGATCTCTGTTCTCCTTCATTCAACAAACTGTAAGTAACAAACCGATTGAACGTATGATGTTGTAGTCATCAGGGCCGGTTGTCAAGTGCATATTCAGCTGAAGCTTCACTTAAGGGGCCTGAACGGAACAACTCCATAGGTCTCAACGGTATCGTATAGACATTGCGATGGGAGGAACTGGGCTAAAGTAATGCTATATCATTCCAGACCTCGGTAACGGTGATCATGTTACTCAATGACCACAAATTGCATTGCTAAATCATCACTAACTGTTTCGTGATAGTGTATGATAAAAAACCTAAAACCCTTTCTGCAAAAATTGATGATGTAACACTCCGGTGAATAAACCGTGTTGCCCCGCTGTATTCCGTCTATAATACACTAACTATTTGAGATTTTGTCATGTGCCATTTGATGTTGCCTGCTGAACTATTTTCCGGTAGCACCAAACACGTATAATTGCGAGTCGTGTGTTCACCAGTGGCTCCGACGAGAGCTTATTAAGTAATGTGGATGAAATGATAAACGGTATTATCAGTATTCTGAGTTCAACAGGCTGGCGCCGGGTCAGGAACAGTTATGTATTCGAAGAACAGCATCGGATTGGTGTAAATAAGCTTACACAGAATTGATTACTAATTTTGTGATTGTATCTTCATCAGTAATTGCCAGCCGCCAGTCTGTTTTTTATTTCTTGTTGTACCTCGCGAAATCCATGGGAATCCAACAATCGTTCTTTGGTGTGTACGAACTACTCACACATGCTAGTAGTATCTCACAACACTAGTATGTAAACTGAAGCTATATATTATTTCAGATTGGCCAACATGTATGGCATATGTAACTTGATCGTCGCAAATTTCTCTGGCCATCCCTGTTCAAATGGCTATCGTGATAAAATGAACAATATACAGTATTGCCATTAACACCTCTGTAATTTTGGCAGTTGTAATCGGTACCTTTGACCAGGCGATTGCGTTTGGTGAACTCATTGGTTTGCCCAATAACTGTC